TAAAAGAAAAGGAAATAAAATGGCGAAGATTTGCCACAAAAAAAAATTTAAACAAAAAAAACCATTTCTCTTCCATTTTTTTTTTTTTTTTTTTTTTACGCTGTGTCTAATGAGGCATTCAATTTTCATACTAAGCTTTACTGAGAAGACTTTTTATTGCCAATTTGTAGTTGTTTTTACTGTTGTGGTTGTTAAATTATACCGCAGTATGGGTAAACAGTAAAGAGAGGAAAAAATAGGAAAAGCGAGTTTTTTTGTCGAAATAGATAAAGTCAATATTTTTGCAAAAAAATAAGCGAAAAAAAAAATCTAATTTTTGCAACCCAACCATTTTTAAGTTAATCACATTTTGTGTTGAAAAATTTTCTGCAAAAAAATTTATGCAAAATAGAATGGAAAATTTTATCTTAACAGAATGTTGAAAGATATTTTTAAATTAAAGTATTGGCTTAGTAAGTGTCAGTTAGCTGCTGCTATGTCTAATCAAGTATTCTTTTTATTTTTATAGGTAAGCATAATTATACAAATCTGTTAACTGAAGAAACGTTACTGAAGTGTAGTTATACCGAGTTACTTACCACGTGTATCAGGTTCAGCAGTTTCTGGCTGAGCATCTTGGGTATCTTCTGATGGTGTCACTTTATCATCATGAGATTCTTCAACGGCATGCTCTTCAGTCACAGCTTCTGTATCTTTTGGTTGTTCTACACCTTCATCTTCCCTGCATTCATTAGAGCATTACTTTAAAAAACTATAAAGTAATATAGTGACTTAGTTTTAATAGATTTTTTAATAAGTTATAAGTTGATGAGTTATCTGCAGTTATTATTGCAGCTCACTGCGAAATTATAGGATAAAAAATTTTTTAGATAATAAATTTGAAGAATAGGCCATTGAAAAGATATAACTTTTGTGAAAAGTTTAAAAAAAGAGAAAAGATACAAAAAGAATGCTTTTCAGTTTATTAAAGTTTAACCAATTAAAAAGATTCTTTTTCTGAAAATAAATTGTTCTTTTTTTTTTTTTTCTGTACTGCTTAATTAGGTTTATATTTTGTTTAGGAAATAATGATTTACTGGGTTGGAGATGTTGAAACAAGTACGTCGGCGTCAGACATTATGCGTTTTTATCTCCCTGTTTAGTTGATGTTACCAATGTCTAAAAAATTGAAATGAAGAAACAACAACAAGAAAGAAAATAAAAAAAAATCGGAAAAAAAAAAGAATAATGCAAACTAAAAAAGCTCTAATAAAGTGTTGGCAACTTTTCGTTTTGTTTTTATTTCTGTTTTGCTGTCCAATTATCAGCAGAAAAAAAAAAAAAGAAGGAAAAAAGGACATGTAGTTTAGTTTATCGATAGTATCGAAACACGCAATACTTCGGAACCAATTTAGCCCATCCCTCTCTCCCTCACTTTGCCAGTGCTTTTCATTACTTATCCATCGATCAACCGGCCTAATCATAATGCAACATTTTTTTCTTTTTTCTTCTTTTTTTTTTTGCTTTTGACCGAACAAAAAAAAGCTTTCTGTTCTAATAACAGACGAAAAGAAGAAAGTGTCAAATGGTTTTATAGCTTTAAAAAAAAAATGAAGTAAAATATTTATGAAGAAAGAAAAAACACAAAAAATTTTTTTATCTCTCATCATTTGTTACCTCTGTAATGCAACATTAACGGCGAGGAGGAAAAAAAATGTTGAAACATTGTGCCTGCAATTAACGTAATCAAAACTACAAATGTTAACAACATATTTTTATCTTTATTTTTCTGTTCTAATGTAATAAAAAAAACTAGTGGCTTTTCAACGATCTTATAAGCTCAGTTTAAAACAATAACCTTCAATTTTTTTTTCTAGTTTGGCTTGCTTTTTTTGCTTTTTTAGTCTCTTTACTTCATTAATGATTGACGGCAATCTAAAATAGAAACTGTCTTGAAATAGCTATTCTTTTCCTATTAATTCTTATGAAAGTCATCTATTTTTTTTTTTTGTTATTTTAGTATTTATCTCGAAAAATATTGAACTAAAAAAAAAAAAAAA